GATGGGGGGGGGGAGGCAGTGGGGGAGAGGGAAGGGAGGGAGGGGAGTTAGAAGGGGAGGGGGGGCGTTACCGGTGGCTGAGCCCCCCCGCAGCAACCATTGTGGTCACAGGCCCCAGCCCCAAGAGGCAAGCGGGGGAGCAGCCACGGCCTTATCGCAAAGCGACAGGGGGACGGAAATTACCCCGGCCCCAGCCCAAAGCAGCAATGGGGAGGCGGGTAGCAGTTGCGGCCCTGGCCCAAGGTGGGGAGGCCAGATGCAGGCCTCTGTCCCCACCCGCCTCCCCCCCACCATCATTCTTGATGGGCAATTTGCTAGTATCAACAAAAAATTAAAATGTTAACTTCCCTATTTGAATCTGTTCATAGGAGGAAAATAAGAAAACCAAGCCAAAGACTATGACTATATGACGAAGATTTCAGAATGAAACTGCTAAAGAGAAACACACTTTTCTTATGAATGATTTTCTGTTCCTCTCTCATGTTACATGTTCCCTCAGAGTACTTAGCTAGGTCAATATGAAAAACGCATTAGGTGCATCTACGCGTCACTGTATGGCGACATTGCTACAGCACCATGCTTTAGTATTTCCTTTTGGCACAGTAACAGCACTCTTACAGAATGCAATATGGGCTCTTACTACACCATGCACATGGCACATAGGTAAATTTTGCAGCTACATCACTGTAGTGGCATGCTATACTGGAAGAGTGTGTTGCTACAATGAGGTAGCTGGTGATCACGTGTAGATCTACGTCATCATAGGGCAACATGTACCCATTCAGTTAAAATGTATAGAGAAGTATAACAAAAAAGAAAATATATTTAAAAACAGGAAAGACTGGGGACTTGTTATCTTTCAGATGGCAAAATTTTCTTATGGAATGCAGCCACTTATACAACAAACAGCATTTAATTTACCTTTAAAATCACATTCAGAAAGAACCATATAAACCACAGTAGGTTCCAGGTCAGAAAACATTTCTGACATACTGTTGAAGAGCTCTTCTTTATTGACACTGTACATTTCCTGTGACATGGTCATATCTCTTGATGATGGTTCCAGTCCCTCAACAGTATTAACAGTTCTATCAGAGTTCACAATCTTCCTAGAGGGACTTACACCAGGATTTTTTCGTTTCTTTGGCATTCTGTTTTCCAAAACCAGCTGCCTTTTTATTTTACTTTGCCCACGAGGTTGATTATCTCAAGTTCAGAGAAAACAAGACGATGCGCTTTTTATATCACCAATGCCCATATTAGCAGTAGCAGACCTAGAGGGAAAACAGTAGAGAAATATGCAAATGAATTTGTATGAATTTCCTTTTAAATATATGCAAAGATCTGAAAAGCTTTTTTTTCCTGAGAGTTGTTTTTCCTTCTTTCAAAGGGCCACAAAAAGCGCATATACTTCTTTCTTTATAAATTAGATATTCAAGTCTTGTCTGAACAAACAAGCGATCATAATGATGTTACAGAAGGAGGGCAAATGAAAAAGGAAGGAATATCGGGCAAAGAATTTAAAACAGGGGGCAAAAATTTTTTTGGGAAGTGCAAAAAACACCTGCAACCTCGACTTGTTAAATGTTGGCATGGTGGGGCAGATGGCAGGGGAGCCACTAGGGGCCCAATGAAGCCCCAGCCCCTCCCCTGCAATCTAACCCAAGGCACATGTGCTAAGCAAAATGCCTTCACACGCCATGCTCTGTCACCTGTGCAGGGGGAGGAGGTTACCTACCCCTGGTTTAAAATACTTTTTGTCAATACATGATTAATTTTGATGACTAGTTAAATGTTTTGGGGAAATGCAATCTTTCTTGAAGATTGAGGACCTACAGCCCTTTAATGAAGGTGTTAAAGATCATAGTAAACACATCCAACATCTCCCAAAAGTCTTCTATCAAGACAAAAAAAGAAATAGCATGTCTAAAGTATTAAATGAGCAGAAGTTTGATAAAAAAAACTTTCAGAACTATATTTATCATAAAAAATTAGAAAAGGAGAGGGGGGCCATCCCCTTTTTCTAAGATCCTTCAAATGCCACTTTTACGGAATAAAATGTAATAGCACATTAAAATTATTGTAATCACTGCATTAACTAACATCTGACTCTTCATAATGAAAAAACTTCAGTTTGTGGTTTTCTCTTCAAGTTGACAGTAGCTGGTAACACTACAAACTTAGTACAAAGAACTGAGTAGTAACCAGGATCCTGAAACGGCTCGCTACAAATCTAAGAACCTTGGATTAATTACAGTGAACCACCATGATCAGTGATTTTAAAATATGGGTTTTTTCTACTTAAAAAGAACTGTCCCAGTGATGGCCATCTTGACTGGTCCACCAACAATCTAGCAAACACACTTAATAATTTACTAGTACACTTGACTCTTCTCTCCCTGGGTCATCATCAGGGCATGTATGAGGAGAGCATCATCTTTAGTACTACAGGATGGTAACAATCCCTATTATTCTTCAGTGATCTCTTCTGGTCAGATGAAAACACACACAATTTTAAAAGTTCCAGAGGAACTGGTGGTTGGCCCACTTGGGTTGTATTAAGTTAGATACAAAAACGGGATCATCAAGAATCTCAGAAAAAAATCCTGCCTCCCTATAAAAAACAAAGTGGAGCTCAGAGAGATTTAAAAAAGGAGTCTGAAACAAAGAGGATGTCAAGAAAGAGTGAAGCAAGTCATGAGATGAAAGAATGCACAAAATCAGAACGAGATACCTCACTTCCAAAAGTAAAGGAAGAATGGTAATGAATGAGAAACTGAAGAAAGCAAAAGAAGAATCAGAGAAAGAAGTAAAATAGTATAATAGATAACTCTTTGGGTCACATATTTCTCTGTTATGCTTTTTCTGAAACTGGGTGTTTAATTTCTCACGAGCATGTTTTAAATTTTACTCATTGGATAATATTAACTTTGAAGAAGAAAAAAATATTATTTTTCTCCTTACAGTTTCCTATTTTCTTGGACTTGATGGCAGAGCTTAGCTACAGCTAAATAATGCCACATGAATATTAAAAAGAAAATCACTCCTGCTTCACAAGAAGAGAGCTTAGCCCTCAAATCCATATTACTAAACCTGAGATGAGGTAAGAAAAACATTTTTGTAAAGTTATTTCAGAATGCTAAGTAATTAGTCTTTATTCTCTTGCAGTTATGTCAGACCAGAATTGATCTGTTTCCAAATGTACAGACCCAACTTCCACACACATTCCTTATATATTTGTTAATCTAATTTCAAAGTAGAAGTTGCTCTCTCTCTTTTTAGAAGGCCAGCATTAAAATAAAAATTGCCGTTAGTATCTTGCACAAGCTGAAGTGCCTTTGTCAACCGTGTGGAGAATATTATAGATTGTTTTCATTACCTTTCTTTTAGTTTTGAAGGATATTGATCTAAATTTGAAAGACTCCAGAATCTCTAGGTAGTAATTTATTTATATAATATGAAGTAGAATAAAAACATTGGTCAAGGGCTTAGTAAATCATGCTACACATAAAGGGGCTAAATCAGAAGGCAAGACTGATCTCACTTCACATTTTTTACAATATTAGAATTACAGAATATACAACTAAATTATTAGGTAACAGGTATAATAAGATGAACAGAAGTTCTTTTATAGGCATTGTATAATTAATTTATGAATCTCATTGCTGCAAGATGTTGTAGGGGCTGGTAGTTCAACCATGTTTATAACGGCCAGATAAGTTTATGCAGGATAGGCCCATCAGTGGATATTAAACATGATAGCTCGGATATATCCTCCACATTAGGATTTCCTAGGCTCCTGAATGCTGGAAGCTGTAAAGGAAGACATGAAGAGACGGATCAATCTTGATAGGCCCTATATTCATACACCTCCTTCCCTCAGCATCTTACTGTCACTGTCAAATATGGGATACTGGACTCGACAGACATGTGGTGTGATCCAGTATAGCATTTCATCTTCTTGAGCTCCTTATCCTCCAATTTCTCAAATTCCATATACTATTCAGCCCCTGAAAAAGTTAGCGAAACTAATGTTACTTATAAAATGTGGAAAAAATTCAGGTATCTACAACTATCATACAAGGTTTTTTGGGTAAATGTGATATCTTTAATTAGACCAACTAAACAGTTGGAAGAAATTGTTCCTTGCAAACTTCCAGGCACAAACATCCTTCTTCAGGCATAGAGAGAATCTGATGGTGGCTCCAGATTACAGATAACCCTTCTTCTAAAACATTTCCTACTGGCTGGCATTAGACTGCCACTCATCATACTGACTGTTGTGAATCTCAGTCCTAGATGCCTAAATCTCTCCTTTTAAAATGCAAGGAACTTCAGTATTTAACTGCAAACTCCACTCCTGGAACCAGATACCCAACTTTAAAGCATGGGAATGCTCAGAGCCCATACACCTAAGTCCCTCTTTTAAACCTGACCCAGAGTATATAGGGGCCTGTCTAGAACCCTAATAAACATTCACCATATATCTAGCTTCTCAGTAATTAAAACTTCTTTTTGTTAGAATTAGCCAATACAGAAAAAATTAAATAAATTTCCAACAACCCTGGTATACAGTGCCTGCACTTCAGTAATCAGAACTGCAGGTCAACCTTGGACAAGCACCTACCTGGGATCATCTGACCCCAGCTCTCTTTCCTGCCCAGGGCAGGTCGTCAGACTTGATGACCTATTGAGGTCCCTTCCGACCCTAACATCAATGAATCTATGAACCTCATCTATACATTCTGGGAAATACGGTATAAATCACCCTGTATTTAGCTTTCTGTATTGAGCTCTGGATAGGAGTGCATTCCTAGATTAAAATGGGACAGTAATATCATGGTGATTTAGATGTAGTGATGGATAAGGCTATACTGAACCCATATAGAAATGGAATTCCAGATAATTAGCCAGGGACTGTTATCTGCTCTGTAGTTCATGATTTGATACTAGGTACCTCTGTTGTACATGTATCCAATTAATGTAAACCGCTGTTTCACTTCAGCATTGATGAAAGGCAATGTTCCTTTGTGGCACAGGTCTCAACTTTACTTTTTTTCCTTCTTCAAATGAGCTTTTCAAGGACATGCATCTCTTAGCATTAAAAATGCTCCCATGAGATCACTCAGCTATATAAGACAGCACATGTGCAGAAGTCTACTTTTATGAAAATTACCTTTCAATGAGCTGATGAATTAAAGTTATTGAGAAAAATGGATTTTCATGGCTGAAAAGATTAGCTAGTAGTCTGAGCATCTCAGATGTTTTAAGGGCTGCAAATTTACTGACTGGCTAGTATTGGATTATTGGATCTGTGCGCGGGGCGAGGGCAGGCTGCCGCTGCGGGCTTTGCCCTGGGTGCCAAACTTTGTTGTTATAGCACTGATTCAGTCAGCCATGAACATAAAAGACACTTCCAATTTTGGAGGCTGGTGCTTGAAACTTGTTTTATTTTGGTACTTGGAGATTTAACTTGTGTGGCGGCAACGTGCCTCAACAAGCACGAGAGGAGGTGAGAGAGGTCTGCGGGGTGCACAAAACCCCGAGGCAGAACCCCGGGGGGAAAGAATTACCTCTGGAAAACACAGCGGTGCAGGAGCCGGATCCACGGCTACAGCCGTGCGAGGCAGCACGCGCCCGGGGGCCCCGCCATTACGGCAGTTTTTGAAACAGCTGTTCCCGGGGAGGGAAGCAGCTGGGCCAATCGGCCGCTGTGGGAAGGTTTAAAAATGCCAGCAGCACCTGCGGGGGGGGGAGCGGGAGAAAGAGAGTGAGCAAGCGGGCAGCACGCCGGCCGTTCTGATGCTCCTGCCGGGGAGAGGTACAAGTCAGGCTGTGCCATCTTGGCGCGGGAGGCAGGGCACACCTCCAATCCTCTGCCAGGGATCAACAAGAGGAAAGTCCTGAGCTCCCAGCTAAGGGGGAGCAGGGAGAGACCTGTACTCCCCTGTGGAGACAGGGATCTAGGAGAGGTAGAGCAAGGGAGAGGGGCAGAAGGCCCTAGAAGGCATTGGGAAGGGGAAGGCAGCTCCACGAGCCTCCCTGTCCCAGAAGAACTCTACTTCTAAAAAGGAAAAGTGGGGCGGCAAGGCAAGCCGACGAGGAAGTGAGGACTACCATCCTACCAGCCCAGGACCGGTTGGCGAGTGGACAGGGTATAGTGGTGGCGGAGCCCTGTGGAACAACGCACTCTGTAACCGTGAGTACACCTGTGTCGGGAAGGGACCCCTCCGAGAAGATCTCCGCTAGGACCCTCCCCATAAGAGTGTATCAGCAAAGTCATGGCAGGCGAGATGAGGGGGAGGGGACACCGTACCGGTAGGTGACTACATACAGACAACCACCGTCATCACAACTTGGAACAGTGAATATGGCAAAAGTTTTCTTGGGTCTCTCTGGTTTGCTTCTGCCATTACTGTCATTCTCACTACATAAGTGAATCATGGTCTTGCCACAGGATCCAAAATAGTGGTAGCGTTTGGGCTACCCTGGAGCAGACTTCTTAACTTGATCAGGACAAATTATTTCATCCAGATTTTCTTACTCAAAAACTCTGTTCAAAAGTTGAACCTCAGTCTTTGCTTCTTAAAAACTACAATGTTGCAGTTAAATATTTACATATAGATATAGGTGCTTCATTTCATAGTAAGAAAAGGAACCATGAGAGGGGCAAGAAGAAGCAGCTTTAGTTCCACCCTACAGTGCACAGTGGCTATTGAAGCAACACCAATGGAGGGTATGCTCAAAGCAGAGGAGTGAGGGGGCAAGTTGGGACCAGGAGTCAGGGCCATTTTCCTCAATCTGCTACCCAGTCTATGTCAGGATAGCACAACATGCTGCCACTTATTTGGCTCTTACTACTCACTGCTACATGAGACCCCCCAGAAAATGTATGCCACCTTAACTAGTCATGAAATACTTTTTCATATTGATGTGCACAAAACACAGATGGCTTCCTCCATTAAACATGGCAAGATTCTACTCATCTGCAAAGAGATGCTGTCATAAATCTAAATGATCTGCATGCAAATACATTGTTGATATACTCAACGTACAAAGAAGTTTGCTCATTCTCTTTCCTTTCATTTCAATAACTGCTGTTTCTTTCTGGCAAATGTATATAAATGTAAAGTTAAAACAGTTAAAAGCCACACTGATACAACTTAAAAGAATAAAATGAAAGGAGAATGAGCCAGTGAACTCCTTTCTTCTTCACACCCCTCATTAATGATATTTATAACTAATATGCATTTTGAAAATGTAGAGGAAAACCAACTAAGCATTTAAGAAAACTGGCTTGCTCCATTACCAAACACATTCCCATCCTGCCCTCTGAAACATCAGATTGTGCCTCAGAAACATTTATGCAGCCTCATTTTACAAGCGTTGCATATACACTACTTATTTACCAAGACACCATCTTAACATCTTTTCATTGTTGATGCAATGATAATGATTCTTCAGAAGCGAAGGGAGCTAAAGGAAACACATTGCACCTGGAAAAAAAACTTGCTGGAATGGCTCTAGGACCATAGGTCCCTGGTGGTCACCTACCATCCCAAGCTAGAACAGATCAGAAGAATCGCCAAATAACTACAGCCTATGCTCAACAAAGATTAGATCTTGAGAGAAATATTCCCAGCCTCTCCACTCCTGGCTTTCAAACAGCCCCCAAACCTTGCCCAACAGACATCAAGTGGAACACAACCTGGCCTTGGCAAGTAATGCTTAGCCTGTCAGCACATCTCCACTGCCACTATTATCAATATCCCCCCCATAAAAAACCCCATCAGAATCCATGGTTCCTACACAATCCTTCCTAAAATGTGATATACCTGATCCAATGCACCAAGTGCCCTCATGGCAACTATGTGGGTAAAATTAAACAGCAACTAGGCGCCAGAAAACTGCAAAAACAGCAGCCAACCAAAACCAGCAACTCTTACAGAAAAAATAAAGGACTGTCCCAGGGGGGATGAAGGAAAAGGGGCAGGAGACCCCTCCCATGACGTGGTTTAAGGTGGGGACAGCCCGCCATAACAACAAGCAGAAAAGCCCGGAGAAGAGGGTAAACTTACCCCTTGTAGAAACAGCCAAGCCAAACAAGCCGTAGAGGGAAGGAACGCCCACATGGTTCGTCAGCCGCTTTTATTTGCGGCTGAGACTGGCGTAACTGCGGCTGAGACTGGCGCGGCAAGATGATGTCATTGAAGAATGCCACCCAGCAAAGATAAAAGCCAGTGGTGGAGAAACAGCTGGGAGAACGCCGCAGAGAACAAGCTGTGGGGCTGTTCCCCAGAATGGACGAGGACCTCCCAGCAAAGGGAAGGAGAAGCCGAAGAAGGACCCAACAGAGGGGTCCGAAATTTAATTAAAGGAGATGCCACACTGAACAATGAGGGAGCCGGGCCGAGGGAAAGGTGTCGAGGAATGGCAAGGTTGAATGCAGGACACGTGAGTGGGGGTGGGCCCATCCCCGGAATTTCAGTTAATTATTTTACTTTTGATTCATTCAAAGCCTAGGGCAAGGGAGGAGGGCCACAAGTGACGTTCGAAGGACGAAAGGAGCCGGGACCACTGCAGAGACCCCAGTTTTAAAACCCCTTATGGAGGCACAATTTGATAAAATCAAAGCAACTATAAAAGAAATTGGGGGCAGGGTCACAGATCTGGAGATAAAGGTAGAGAGAAACCTACAATCAGCAGTAAAATTTCAAAATAAAATTAAGATGATTGAAACAAAAGAAAAGGAACTTGCAGAGAAAACTGAGATTATAGAAAATCGTGAGCGAAGAAATAACATAAGAATAAGAGGACTCCCAAGGTGAAGGGAGATCCAGTCAAATATTCACAACAGGTATTCTACTCCTTCCTACAGGTGAAAACAAAGACAACTGTCCTTGGAGACAGAGCACACAGAGCTCTCCAACGCTACCCCCACCAATTCAAACAAACAGAGAAATGATACTACATTTGCTCTTTTTTAAACAAAAGCAGTAGATTCAGAAGA